GCTGACGTCACGGAGATTCAGGAAGCGATTGGAAGATTTATTCCTCAATGCTCGATCGGGTTTTTGGCAATCCCTCGCATAATATTTTCGCCTATCCCCTTCACGTTGAAGACGCTCCTGACTCGAGCCATGGGTGAAACCTCATTTAAGATAATGTTGAGATCTGCAGGCCTTCAAGCGAGGGAGATTTAATGACGCTGGAAGGGCCTCATGAGGCCCCAGAAGGCCCCAGAAGGCCCCAGAAGGCCCCAGAAGACCCCACAAGGGGGCTGCTAAAATGATTAGAGACCCGAGGGACTTCCGTACGGACGGCGTTTCAAATCCCTTTTTTTCCGCTCGGAAGAAGGTTTGCTAATTAGAGGGATGCCGTGAAGCGTGAAAGGTTTTCCCAACTCGATCATTGCAGAACGGTGAAACCGGATGAGGGTCGAAGAACCTCGATTGCATTCGAGCAACGAGTTTTTCGCTCCATCGGCTCCCGAAAGGCACGGAATGTATCCCAATATCGGTAACTATCCGGTAACTCGCAGATAACTATGAGGTAACTAGAATGTAACTATATCCTTGCAGATATCTTCGTGGATAGGGAAAAGAACAATAGAATTAATTGACAGCAGGAAGCGAGTGGGCATGACAGTTTCGTTCAACGATTCGACCAATCCTACCGCGATTCGGTCGGTTGACTCTGTTCTGCAAGAGTCCATGGGAAATCAAATGGAGTTAGTCTAATTGGCTCGCATGCCGTGTCTCAGGCCGACTCTATCGCATTTCAATTAAGTCCATCTCGGCTGCGTAGACGCGGATTTGCATGCAATTTCACCGGAATCTCACGGAAGATTTTTTTTTTCCTTGGGGATGCGGTTGTCGTTCTTGGTCGAAGGCTGTTTTGAGTCGCGATATGTCGATATCAGAGTCCAGATAATGCTCGCACTTTTCTATTGGTTGTCTTAATTAAAGAGAGAGAGAATTAAAGAGTATTAATAAGAATAAATGGGACAAAAATAGAAACAGGCGACTGAAGTATTTTTAAAATGCCAATTTTTCCCGGTGAACTCATTCTCATAAAAGGAAATTGGAAACGAAGCGTCGCAAACATTTTGCCCAATTTGGGAATTACATACAATATATAGAAAGTATTCCGTACGGCATAAAGTCAGTTTCCATGAAAAAATGCATCTGCAGCGGATTATATGCGAATTTTCTCCATCAGAAACTCGATCCTCTTGAGAAACGGCGAATATATAGTTTGTAGAAACTCCTCTGAAAAATGCATTGGAAGATTTAAAGATCCCGTGTCGAAGAAAGAGCCTTTTTCTCAGACCGTTCTTCAAACTCAAGAGAATCATAGATGTCGTGTTGATGATGGGAGAGGCGTGTTGATAGATGGAACAAGGTTGTCGTGTAGACACAGTAAGGAAAGAAGGAGGAAAAAAAAAAAAAAGATCTTTTTTTCTGTGATCGATCACCCTTCTTGGGTCATCGCCCTTCCTTTCCCAGAACTTCCCTCCTTTTTTCCTTCTTTTTCCTCTTCCCTTTTTTTTCCCCCTCCCCTGTCTTCCGAGATTCATCTCATCTGGGAGCTCCCCCCCCCTCCCCCCCCTCGCAGGGAAGCTGGGTTTCGTACGTGTTTCCTCTTATGTTAGGGGTTTTCTCGGCGAGGCTTTTTTCAGCGGCGCTCATCCAAGAACCAATCGGATCTATTTTTTTTTTAAAGATCCCGTTTGGAAATTGGATTCTGCACTCATGAAGATTATCGGGAATAAACAGATTTGACGTCATGACATTGTATGGAATTCGGTGACTCGAGTCACCGAACTCCATTCGGTTTTATCCTGTCGCGAAATTCTACGGGGCATGAACTTTACCGTAATTCTATTGGAATAAATTTGAAACGCAGTGAAATTAAATGAAATAAATTTGAAATGAAATGAGGTGAAATTCGGTTGAAGGAATGAACACCTTATCCCAGTGAATGTGTTGTCAAGAAGAGATCCTCGTGACCCATTTCCATTCCTCTTGTGAGGAGTCCTATCTGTGTAGGTAGAATGTATCTTGAAGCACTGGGGCTTTTGCGGTTTTTCCCTGAGTCAGATAGTGATAACATAGAGGGGAGGGGGAGGGAGGAGTCTTTATCAGTTGACAACCAGTACTTCCCACATTAGAGGTGGGAGGTAGGGGGGGCGGAAGGAGGGGGTTTGAGGGAGTGGGGTGGAGGAGGAGGGGGAGGATTAGAGGAGGGTAAGGGGAGGATATCTTGAATGTTTTCTTTGCTTCCTACAAAACACGAGGGAGCAGTCGAAGAGCAATTTCATTCATGGAAAGATAAGTTTGATCGATGAAGTTCGTTGCTCGCTTCGATTGGTTTCACGGGGAAATCCGATTCACTGTCGCGTCAGGAAGCCAGCGGAAGAGATCCATCTCATCCATCGACTTCAATATCGTCACATCGGGGTCATTCAAGGGTCACATCGGGGTCATTCGAGGGAAATCCTGTCGCATGACAGTGTCCTACCTTACTCACTTGATTGCTGAGCAAATCCCTCATTTCCTTCTTAGGGATTCGATACCCTTGAAACACGATTGGCTCACTAAGGCTGTGGTAGACTTGCCAATTCAATTATATGGAGTCGGCAAATTAAGGCCTGAGGATTCGCTGAATGAACGAGTTCGATGGGGCCGAAGCGAGGTCGGTTGAAATCGATGGACTCTTGAATCAGATTTCGTCGGGTTGAATCGAGGGAATTAAAAGGCGAAGAGGAAATCACTGGGGACATTCAGAATTCCCAAAGTTTTTGCTTTAAGGATAAGCGTCTCCACGAAGCAAAAATGCGCTCGGCCATGCACTGTTGTGGTGCTCTCCGTGACGAAGTTCATGCGTTCCCGTCTTTATTTATGCAAAGACGCGGAATCGATCGCGAAAGTCGATATGACTCATCCGGAGTTCCGCCGACCGATGATCGTCACGAAGAGAATCGATGAGATCCGCCATCGAGTCGGTGTCAACTTCCACGTATTTGCCGTGCTCACATGGCTCACAGCCATCTTATTTCGCCTGTGAAAACCCGCGCCATAAAGCCAGAGCGCTGATTCGATCCCAAAACTTCCCGAAAGGAAACTTGGATCTCCTTCGTATCTTCATCGTATGGCACTAACGACCGGCCATTCGTCCGCTAACGCTGTTACCAACTCGTGACATCCGGGGGATTAGAAAAGGAATTGCTCCCTCGTGCCAAGAAGACAATTTTCTGGTCTCGCGCAGTTCTTCCCCTCCCACGACGATGCAGATATTTCTCTGCGATTGGAGACGATTTACAAAGAATCCAGCAATGGGAAGCGTTTTAGGGGGAATGGGGATTTAAAGAGAGAAGGACTCTCGATCAAACGCCGGATTTCAAATACTTTCGCAGGAAATGTCGCGGAAAATCAGGGGTTTGGATTTATGGCGTGTTCGGCTTTGGATTTACATAAATCATTGTTTTCTGATATGGGAACGGAATTGTCTGAATCATCTTTTTTTCCCCCACGCATTAATACCTCCATAATTTCTTCCTCTTTTAATGTTCTGGATTTCCTGTTAAATTCCCTTCCCCCCTCACCTTCCCTCCACCCTCCCCCCACACCTTCCCCCTCCATCCTCCACCCTCCCCCCTTCACCCTTCCACTTCCTCCATCCTCTAATGTAAATCTCGAGAGTAAGCATGGTGACTTCCTTGGCCCCAAAGCAAGAACAATATCCTCTCTTCTGCTCTTTAAGGCAGCACAGTTGCATAATCATATCTCATCGATGTAAAGGATGGGGCAATATGAGAGCCACATTTGGCTTCTTTTTTTTTTCCAGGACGAAAAAAGTCACCGATAACGCAGCAACCCTGAAAAGATTCTTCCTCTCGTAAGAAAAATAAAAGTATTGATGAATTACCTTCGTTTGCGGAAGCAGGAAAACACTTTTGTTGTGCTGGAATTTCCTATTTTAGGGGCAGATGTTCGCCGGCCACCTGGTCAGAGGCCAGAGGTGAAAGTGGGGGCTCGACACTTCTTCTCCCCTTTTACCCCTTTCCCCCCTCCCCCCTTTTACCCCCCCAGGAAATATGATGAATGTCGCCGGCTAAAAGTCCTCTGCGGACGGTCCAGCTGGTCCCAGGCCAGTGTTGCTCCGGTTTCCGGCTTTTCGGTTTCTTCAGCGCTCTTTTCGTTCTGCGTGCCAAATTGTTGTGTGCAAAAAAATTGCGATGATGCAGACAAACGTTCTTGCTCCAGTTTTTAATCTTTTTTTCCCCTTTTCTGGCTCCGAGTGCCACGTCACCGTTACGATCGAACAATGTGCGTGTCACCGAGGCGACAGTGGAAAGGGAATCTTTCTTGTATCACTGGTGACCTAGATTTTTCGGTGTCGAAGTCCTCCCAGATTACGCCTCTCTCGTCTTCACTGTTACTCCTCAGTCATTCATTCCTCTGTTTCCCCTCTGTTATGTCCCTCTTCTGGTTCCGACTCGTTAGGGGCAGTTCTCGGAAGAGTTCCGTTATGATGGCCCCAGGCCGATCCTGGTGAATCACGTTGCATCATCACCTCCGAAGCCGCTATTTCCCGTCTTTTACTTTCGATGGGACCTTGGAGCGAGGCAGGTGTAACCTTGAGTGCTCGTAACCTCGAGGTGCTCGTAACCTCGAGCCGATCGTAACCTTCGTCCATTGAGATGCTGTCCAACGAAGTCGCCGTCCTTCTCAAGGAACTCGACGAGTGGTGCGAACGGGCGGGAAGTGTGTCTTCGTCCGATGAGAAACCGGAATCCAAAGTGAAACCCCATCGCAGGACCGGCAATGGTATCCTCTGCCGTCGATCATTTTCGCCGCGATTATTTTTATGGCTTAACTCGCGTCGCTGTTTTACCCCTTTTGCCTTGCATGCATGCCTTGCCAGCTTCATTCTGCATGCTTCGATTATGATCACTATTTTCTCAGTGTCTCAATGCCTGTTTTTTTTTTACGGTAGTCTTTCTCGCATGCGTGGAGTTGTCACTGTGAATATGAGCCTTCATACATTTTTAGAAGTATGAATTAACTGTAAGATTATTTGCCATCTGGGGATATATATAAAAAAAAAGTTCGAAGTTCTTTTTTTATATTCTACAAATATAAAAAAAAGAACTTCGAAGGTAGATTCTACGAATTTTTTTTGTTATTTTGTTGTGACATTCTGAAACCAGGGAAAATATGCGCGAAATCGTTGAAGTCCTGGTAGAAATCTTTAATCATTTTCGAACGAACTGCCTGGTGCGGACGAGATGACTGACGTTCGACTCGACGATCTCATTCTGTGTTCCAGCTCAAATCGAGATAATACCATGCAAGGTATGCGGAGATAAGAGCTCCGGGGTGCACTATGGGGTGATCACGTGCGAGGGCTGCAAGGGGTTCTTCCGGCGGAGCCAGTCCTCGGTGGTCAACTACCAGTGCCCCCGGCAGAAGAACTGCGTGGTCGATCGCGTCAACCGCAATCGATGCCAGTACTGCCGCCTCCAGAAATGCCTCGCTTTGGGCATGTCCCGAGACGGTGAGACTGACGTCGTTCATGGCGAATTTCTTCATCTTCATGAATTTATGCATATATTTTTGTTCCCTTTTTTTCATTCATATATTTATGAAATTGGAGGTGTTTCTGGATTTTTAATCAATTTTTTTTTAAGAAGAGGCATGCTTATATATTATATTTCCTAATTTTATTCTATTTCGTTTATTTATTTAATCCTTTTCCATTCAAATTTATTTCTATTTATTCTTAATTTTTTGAGACCAGGAACTACTCATTCAAAAATTTCCCCTCCATGTCTTATTTTACTTCCAAATATATATATATATATTTTTAAAAAGTTCTTAAGTTATTTATAGTCATTTTACTTTTGCATAGCTCTTAGGGAAACTCGTGGAAAATTCATACGTCTTTCTCCTCAAAGAGTCGTGTAAAATGCATTGTGACTCATCCAGGTAGGAAGCATACGGACTTTACAGAGAAAGCCTCGACGGCAACCCACCGGAAATGCCGCCTTTCCGAGAAACTCCTCGTGTCCGTTCGAACCGGCACATTCCCCTTCTTTCCCCTTCCATCTCTCATCCTGTTCCGCGATGACGAAAATTCGCACATCGTCGGAAAGCTACGTAAAGGTCGCTTTCCGATCACCTGGAAAATTTCGTCGCTGCGGCATGGGGTAAAGAGCAATTCAGGGGAAGAGAAAGGAATACACCAGAACGAAAATATTTTCGTTATGATAAAGGATGTTTTCCTCACGGAAGACAATATTTCCGTTGCGACGACTTGAGGATCGCTTCTGTCCTGCTTGAAATTAATATTCATTTCTAATTATCCATCGCTAAGAAATTTCTATTAGAGATGCTCTTCTGCATCAGTTTTCTCTAATCTTTTTCGTTCTTCCTCAGGTTTCGTGTGTATATTCCTCATGAAAATTTGGACGCAGAAAACTGCATGAAAGACGACAAAGTTCTGAGGTCTCCCATGCAAAATTTCTTATAATTAATTATCACTAATAATTTAAAAAATTAGGATCAATAATTGTAGACTTGTTAACGTAGCTTTCTATTTACCACAAATGCTAGGAGACGGCAAGTTTGCCAGTTAGTCTCACTCGCGTCTAATGGAGAAGGCACGGGGAAGTTGAGGCGGCAATTTAATCGTAAGATAAGGCAGGAAAAAGAAGTGCAAACAAGAGAGTGACTTGGGAAATCCATGCAAGAGTTATTGCACAACCCGGCAGAGAGAGAGAGAGAGAGAGAGAGAGAGGCGGCGTGGGAGTGAACAAGAGAAGGGGGGAAAAAAAAGAACATGGGACTTCATTCTGGTTAGGATCTTCCTCAACAGAGAAGAGGAAAAGGAGCATTCCCATATGCGGTAGAATATTCATTAGCTGAATATTTATAATCGCGTTGATCAATAGCTGATTGCATCATATTGTGTTGTATACTAGGTGTGGTTTTCCATACGATTTCATGGCGGAGTCTGTCTATTATTTAATTGATTTTAAATGTAATATATTATTTAAATTCATGTAAGTTTACCGTCTAATCAAGGATTGATTTATTCATCAGCTTGCCAAGGTAACATCATCATGCCTTTTTGTTATTGCCATCTTGCCTTTTGTTGTCGCTATGGAGCATCAATGGAGCTGGACTCCAAAAATAAAAATGAATATGGGAATTAAGCTGAAGTGAAACATGAAGGCTCTATTGTTAGTTCGTACTCGTCTTGAGTGTTTCTTCCTCAACTTAAAAAAAAATATATTTATTATTATTTGCATTTAATTTCAGTATCATAGTAGCTGTATGCTCTGGGTTCACCTGGGTACATGTAAACTAGAAATTTTCGGATCTCTCTATACATGTAAGGAAAATGTGCTGAGCCCCAATGCTTCAGAAACGGGTGATAACTACAGCGATATTTATGAGAATAAAACTGTGCTCACAAAAGGGATGAAAAAAATATCAGCTAGGACCTATACTTGATTGGGCCTAAAGTAAAAATCTGAGCCTGAGAGTCTGTTATCATTGAAATCAAAATGTAAAATGTAGGGTTTATGTAAAAGTTCGAGTTCATGCAATTCAAGTAGTTTTAGTAAATAAATTATTCAGATTCCGGATAAAATCTGCAGAAAGCCCTGTCACACCGAAATTCTGCTAATAAAACTTGTAAACGTAGGAGGCCTTTTTCCTGATCCTGTGCAAGGGTAGAATTTTTTTTTAGACATTCAACAGTGTGACTTGGCTACAGTTTGATATTTACAGGTATATTTATTTTGTATTTATATCAATTTATTTTCATACTTTCCTATACTTTCATGTTGGGTTTTCATGTTGGCAGTCCGTGCTTAAATTAATTCCTGGAACCGAGTGTGACCGGAAACGCGTGAAAAGATGAGTTCGTGTCTCTCCCCCCTTGTATCGTCAGATTAGATTAGACAAATCAACAAAAAAGAAGGGGAATGAGGGGGAGGAGGAAAATAAAATGAGAAAAGGCTCGATTCGTGCCCGACAGATGACAAAATGGCAGTGTCATTCAGTCTTTTCGTGTTAAGGCAGCCCTTCATACCTCAGCAAAAAATTCATACGCTTCATTGTGACGAGCTAAGCAATAAATTTGTCATAAAAAATAAAAGCAATTAACAATAAAACTTAAATATGGGAAATTGTAAGATTGGCATTAGTGCAATAATAAAAAAAGATCCATCAAGATAATGAAGACAATATTTTATTGTTAAAATACTTTTTTTTATGCATATAGCAAACTCAATTGTTGAACAGTGTTGCCATGAATATTCAGCAAATCTGATGGATCAGCCCCCAGATACAACGTTCAAAGAGGCCGAGGCTATTCCGGGGGGAAATGAGTTAATAGGAGGAACCTCATGCAATGCAGATCAGGTCAACCGAGGTCATTTACCCCTCGTGCTCGTTATGGATCCCCTGTGAATTATGAAAAAGCGGTAGGTGATTCCCTTGGGGAGCAATGAGGGAGAAGGCGAAGCATCGGGCAACCGTGTAGCGAGGTACCGTGCTTCAGTCCGTCTGAGCTGTGACCCACTTCCCAGTGCATGAACCCAGTGTTGCCGCCCTCTCCGCTCGCTGCGTTGCCGCCCTCGCTCCCCGCATGCGGACCGGAGTGGAAGAAGGACGGTCATTGGCACGCTCTAAGTAGAGGGGAAAAAAAGGAGCAGAAAATACCAGAGAAAAAAGAAAAAACTTCCTTGCCTTTGCGTGGGCTCTGAATAGAGCTCTGCACGGCTTCTCAACGAGGAATATTTTTTAAATATTAATTATGAGTGCCTTTGAGAGGGGTCTCTTGGAATTATTTGCTTGAACAGCCCTCCGTCTGTCATTCGTCATCCCTGCCTTCGTCCTCGAGCGCCTCTTCCATCGAGTGCTGAGCAAGGAAAGACCTCCGATGCATTCCAGCAGATGCATTTCTGCCATTTCAAACCCCATTATTCTTTGACGGTGCTTGAAGATGAAGTTGCATCTTGTGTGAAGCACATGCTTGGAATGCGAATTATATAATATCGGGTATAATTATGAGTCGCCTTTTTTACCGCCGCATATCCAAAAAGAATGCAGGAGAGAGAGAATGTTTATTTCTTTGATACCGAACGAAATACGAGAATCCCGCCGTTCATTCTTGGTCTCGAATGTCAGAGCATCGTTTGAGTCCTTCAAGGGGATGTTGACCTCTCGAGACAAAGTGCGCCTCAACTACAAGGAAGTGATCTCTTCGCCTCGTTCGCAAGTGCTCTTTTTCCCTTTGTCTCTCTCTTCTTTTCCGGCTAAAAAGGAAGGCACTGATTTTTTCTTTTCCCCTGGCACCCAATCCGTAGAGAGCGAGGGTAAATATTTGACGGGATCGCTGCATACACATCGATGCGGCATTGATCTGCTCTGGATTGGGTCGGGGAGTCACCGGGAACTTGGAAATAATGGGAGTGCAATAACCTTAGCCACGCTGCTGGCGTGGTCGATAAATGAGCGAGGAGGGAGCCGGCTGCGCCACCTAGTATTAGCACGCCGCACTACAGTTTCCGGCATCGTTCTCGCAAGAGTACGGTGCGACAGAAACCCGCAAGTGGCGCCATTTCAGTGCAGAAGCCTTTCTTCTCCGTTTGCTGTCAGCCCCCTATCTGGTCACGAAGGCGGCAAGCAAAAAGGCTGGATAATTTCTTTGTTCCAGTATTCCGTCATTTGAAGGAATCTACCCCTTTCCCAAGATTCCCAAGGCAAATACTTCATATATTAATTTAAATTGACAAGAACACTTGAATTAATGAATACTCAGTATTTCAGCATTTCTGTGAGCATCCTTCACGTCCTTCGCGTCACGGCAATGCGTTCTTTCGTGCACAGAAGAGAAGCATTGCCTTGACCGCGCAATTTACGCTGCTGTGCAGGACGATTGGCACCGTTCCCATATCCGACGTGGAATTAGCAAAGCATGTGCATAGCAGTGTGGTTTTCTGAATTCCCTATCCGAATTAGTGGTTTGCCGCACAAAGAGAGCCATCACGGAGCCAGGTGGGATCCGAGGATTCAATTCAGGCCGTTCCAATATGCAAGCGATAAGTCAGCTCTTGACAGGTATTTGTATTCATATTTGAACAGATGCGTGAGACCCACTATTCGCCTTCAGTGTGTAAATATGATATATCAACCAATAATATTCTGTTTGAATAGTCCTTGCTGCCATGCGGATTTATGGATTGCATGCTCTAGATTGCTCTGTTAACCCTCACCGTCTTTTATGCGGTGACTCCATTTCATTCCATATATTTCAAAGTGAAGGCTTGACGTCTTGGTCCTCTTTGAAAGTTTATAAAATTACAAAGGTTAAAATCGCATTGTAATCTATCTGTTCGAAAGTATTAAAATATTCGAAATGATGTCATCGAGAGATGTTTATATTCAAAGGAGTCTTATAAGTCCTATTCATATATTCATATACATGATACATTTCTGATATCAGAGCCGATATTCATATTAATAAATCATGGTTTATGCGCTGGTTTATCCTGCAATGTTGAAAATTACCAGCTAAATGTTACGGCCTCGTGCACATTCATGCCTCAACCGGAGAATAATTCAGGAAAAATGAAATCTTCAGCATTGGTCCTTGATGCGAGGAAAGTAGGAGGGTCTCCTCATCAACTTGCTCTTCATAAGATAGGATTTAGGATTCAGTCTGGCTCGATGGAGTAAGGCCTCTGCATTCACGATTTGTGGATGTATTTCCTCTGGATTGCAGCGGTGAAGTTCGGTCGGATGTCAAAGAAGCAGCGAGAGAAGGTGGAAGACGAGGTCCGGACGATCAAGGCCCAGCTTCGCCTCCAGCCTCCAGGCACCTCGCCGGACTCCAGCGTCTTCGACCCTCAGTTGCCCTCCTCCTCCGACCAAATCGCCTCCTATCCCAATCCCGGGTAACCAATTTTTTCCTCTACTGGTACCGTTTGTTCAGACTGGAGGGGGAGAATGAAAACCGACGTATCCAGCCAGAGGTCGCAGGCAAGTGCCCGACCCATGTTTGGCTGCGGTGAACTCCCTCGAGATTGCTGCGAGACATATAATGAAGTACAAGGAAAGCTATGTTTCTGAGAATCTTAGTTCTTCTGGAGAACATAGTACCTTTTGTCCTGAGAACAAAAGCTTTTTATAGTGCAGAACCACAATAGATATCAGTGAAGCTAACATCAATATGACAGTTATTACATGGGGCTCACATGGGGCAGGTCTATGACATATTTATTGTTATTGTATGAGCTTGATTCATCCTACACCATCGCTTTTGTACCACGTACTAAAAATGTGAATGCTTTTCTTAGCTCATAAGAGACTGAGAGATGAGTCAGGGTCATGTTCCACCAAATAACTGGCTCATGTGCCCACTTATAACTGTAAGGTGGACCTTCTCGTTTCAGATCTGAACACAGCTTTCCCAGCAGGCCACGCAGTTTATCAGCTACAGTGCATCCACTAATTAAATAATGTAACTATAGTGCGTACGATCACGTTCTTAAAAGTGACCTGCTGGCTACAGTGGTCGTATTGAAAAACTCTGGCTGTCATTACTTGCCGTGAAGCGTAACGGTCCGTGGCTTTGCAGTCTGCTCGTTACTGATTGCTGGGCAACGGAGTCGCCTCACTGCCTGATCACTCAAATGTCTATGAAGACAGGGAAATAATAATTATCTCTTATATGCTGGCATATCGTGAAGGGGCCTTGAGGTGTCATGAAATTACTTGTTACATCGCCTGCGATTCAGGCCCTTGCACACATTCTGGCCTCAGACATGCTATTTGTGTAATTTAGATGTAAGATAACGGTAAAAAAAACTCAAGAATTCCAAACAGATTTCCAGCCTCCAGTGTCTTAGCAACCGGTGAGCAAGGATAGGTTCATATAAAATATATAATGATCAATTGACCGAAAGTTTTAGGGTGGATTTTTGAACAGAGAACTGTCCAATAATGTTGCTTTATTTCCAGAAAATATCACGTATTTTCCCTGGAATAAAACTGCATTATCGGATAGTGTTCAGTTCAAAAATCCACCCTTAGCTTCTGTCTCCCCGTTGATTCATTGGAGTTTGAAGGCCTATTAAGTCAATGCATGTGGTCTCTCGGTTCCAGTTATAACTATGGGAGTGATCTGGGGACGTACACGCCGAACGGGTACACGGCGTTCACGCCGCAAACCACCATGACGTTCGACATGGGCACGGATTTCGTGGACTCCACCACGTTCGACGTCCGCGCCCAACCCGGGCATCTGGACACCTTAACTGACAGTGATTTGTTAGGTAGTACAAGCGTGGTCTCGTCAGGTAAGCCCGCCTCCAGCATGAACTTACCGCCATTACCTCCCTCTGTTTCTTCGGCCCGTGGGCTCCTTCTTCTCGCCGACGCCGGTGCTAAGGCTGTCACCGGCGCGCCGGTCAAATCTGAACCTAGTGCAAGTACTTCTACTCCGACTGCTACTGCTACCTGTACTAACGAAGAGGCTGCGTCCGCCGTCCTGGCCACCGGCGGCGGTAGTGGATTTTCCGGTGACCCTGGTGGTGGTGGTGGTGGTTGTGGGGGTGGTAGTGGTGTTGCGGGCGCGACCGGGTTTGCGGACAGCACGGTGTCGTACTCGGTCAAGCCCAGTTCCACCGATTCCTCTGCTGCACAAGCCATTCATACTCAGTCCGGCGTCCAGCATGCCCAGCGATACGATTACTGTGAGCCCTCCCTAGCCCTCTTCTTTCTCTCTCTTTTGCGTGATGCTGTATATATTTTTTTATATTGGTATTTGGAACTCTGTATTCAGTTTGGCATCTTGTATCAGTAACGGATTGAAAATTCAGAAGAAATCCAGCGTCGAAGTTGCAACTAAGCTGCTAGAAAACTAAGGCTTCCACCGGAAGCTGTTGGCTGGGACAAAATATAGTAAATTTGAATTTGTGAACCCCATTTTGATCCTCCTTAGAATCCCTTGCGTACTTTAAAATAGTCATGAGCATGTTTCACGCTCTTTTCCTTCAAACCACACTATACCTTCTGCAACTGTCTTTCAAGCCTCTACTCAAATGAAAAGTGGCTCAATTGTACTGCCAGGAGATTGAAAGCACTCCGTAACAAAAAAAAATATTTTTCACCACGCGACACATCTTTTCGCTCTGAACGCTTGAAAATCTCCTTGTGGATTTCTTCTTCCCTTCTTGCATGGAAAATTTGTACCGTTCTATCGATTCGTTTCCTTGAGTTTCTTATTTTACGGAGGGTCGAAGGTCGAAGTTCAGTTTTTCCAGCTCGGCTGGTTTTGAGAATTCGTGAAATGAGTTTTTTTTTTCTAGTTTCAGGTGATCTGGATTTCATCCGGACCATTTTATTTTTCATTTGTATATGTGTTCCTTCTTGTGTCTCAATGCTCTTCCAGAAAGTTTCTGTTCCCAGTCCTCCTTCACTTGCCTATCCTCTAGCTTGATCCTTTTTCTGTCGCTCTGTTGGCTGTGGCCGAGTCACTTTCCCGGAACCATGAATAAGTGGCAAAGAGATGGTGAAATTATTCAACTTTTAGAGTCTCAGAAAATCGAAGGAATCAAAGCTAAATATTGAATGTGAAGAATGAAGGGAATGAAGTCCTTCAATGAAAAATTTACTGATGTTCAATGATGTTCAGAAATACGTTCGCAAAATAAGATGAAAAGAAACAACAGAAACAGATGAAATTATGAGATGAAAACTAAAATAACGGGAGTGACTTGTCCACAGGAGAAGTTCTGAAACCATTTCCTATTTCAAACTCACATTTCAATATGTGTCCAAAAAAAAGTTTCCCGTGTGTGTTTGTGAGTATTCTTCACTGGTAGTCTGTCCTCTCTTTGGGGGGGTCTGATGGATTTTGGGCCTCCTCTGTGCCTCCAGACTCCAGCCAGATCTCGGAACTGCTGGCCAAGACGGTGGCCGATGCCCACCTAAGGACCTGTCTGCTGCCCGCAGACCAGATCGCCGACGCCCTCCGGAAACCCCCCGATCTCACCAAAGTCCTCTTGTACAAGAATATGGTAAGCCGCAATGGAGATCGCGAGCGCTCGTCGTCGCAAGCGGAAGTTGGGGTTTTCAGAGTGTCGCCTTGCCTCGGCTCTCTGGGGAATTGGGTGCACGTACGAGGCGATTGATGTAAATGAAAATAGAACGGGTTTTGTAGCACACAAAATAATTGCTTTAAAGGTGATGAAATGGTCAATAGCGTAAAACAAAGTATATATACAGTATATAAGATATATGTCGCATATATATATATATAAGATATATATCGCAGATAAAGCGTCAGTTATCAATTATAGTATAAACGCAGCAATAAAATGGAAAAAAAGGATTATATTCATCCGTGAGTTAAAATCATGTAATGATTCCAAATCAGAAGGCACCATTAGCGCATTTAATATTAGTGAAGGACTGGCTTCACATTCCATGGAGGTACTTATTGCACTAATGGTAATGTAACAGTACTGATGTGGCAACTCTCAAAGTTAGAAGTGATCAACACGATAAATGTTCACGTCCGTTTTGATTAATGTGATCGATTCTCGAGTCCTTTCTGATCAGCCTAATAAATTACCCGAGCCATTTCGATCAACCTATTCGATTCTCGGGTACACTTTGATCGACTTTATCGGTACTCCGATTCGTTTCGGCTAAGTTATATATTTTTTAGGGCCTCTCTGAGACCCCATTTGATAACCCGGTCGCTTCTCAGGCCCACGAGGAGCTGTGGCTCGACTGCGCGCAGAAGTTGACGGCCGTCATCCAGCAGATCATCGAATTCGCCAAAATGGTGCCCGGGTTCATGAAGTTGTCCCAGGACGATCAGATCGTCCTACTTAAAGCAGGTGTGTTTTCCCGTTTCTTTCCCAGTTTTCCTCGTTCCTCAGCCAACTACAACAAAAAATATTAAGGAAAAACTTGTGAAAGCGATGTCGACTTTCTCGTACGGGGTGTTTGGGTTTGTGAGATGCGAGGTTCATGGAATATCTCCAGTCTCTCTATAGGTAAAAGTGAATTCTCAGTGTGGAGGTCACACGAAACTCCGAACTGTGAGTTGGGCTCGTTGTGACGCTCGTGTTCTTCTCTCCCCCGCTTCTTTGTGCTCCATTCAATGCGCTGTAATGCGGATTGCAACGTCCTGCATCAGGCTGCGAGCTGTCAGGCGTTTAGGTTCAGTCGAGGACGTTGAATAATGTCACCAGATAGCAGCGCGCGGACTGTTCCCTCTTGGCTTGGGACGCCAGACATGAGCGTGTTCTAAATTCTCCAATTACGTTGATCGTCGTACTTGCGGACAAAGCGTTCTAAAGTGCTTGAAGGCGCATCATTGGGCCAGAAATTATTGAAGAAGTTAAAACGATTGTGATCGTATTACCAAAAGAGTTTAAATGACCAAAATTATCGGAGCAATCAGGCAAAATTATGCATTAAGCCGTAGAGCGACTAATTCATTCAGTGACTGTCATGACTATAAAAGTAAGTGTTTGGGGCTGCAAGCACGTGAAAAAAGTTGTCTGAAAGCAGACAGAGAATAGGTAGAAATAGTGTATTGAAATATCTAATAAAACCCGACTGTGGTTTTATTGACAAAAGGATCAGCCTAGTCCTTTTGTTGATTTCACGCCGATAAAGGCGAAAAATGCGCACAAAAAAATCATAAAAGAAGAACAAAGATGGTTTCCCGTGGTTGATAACCTCCCATAGGGAGTTTCGAGCTGGCGGCGCTGCGGATGAGTCGCTACTACGACTTGGAGCACGAATCGGTACTGTACGGGGACCTGTCGCTCCCACTGCAAGCCTTCATGACCTCGGACACGGTGGAGGTGAAGCTGGTGACCAGCCTCTTTGAGTTCGCCCGAGGGATCGCCGAGATGAAACTCTCCGACGTCCAGCTAGGGCTCTACTCCGCCTTCATCCTCCTCGCCCCCGGTCTGTCTCCCTCTCTCACGCTATTTTTGGTTCAAGTTCACAGATAAGCTGAACAGAGGTGAATAGACAGAGGAGTGTTCAGATACATCAGAGATAAATTGAGATTGTATGTTATGCTTGTCAATCCACAGGTGCAATCGGGGCAGATAAATATAATTGACTTGAGGTAAATTGTACGTCAATCGTGTGCGGGAAGGGAGTCAGATAGATGGACAATTTAGAGTTCCCGTGAATTATATTGGTAATTTTCCGGGAAGTAATCTTTCAGAATTAAAGGAGCATAAGAATGAATAATTGCTCGTGACTCGTTCCCATTCAGAAGTGCCTGGTGGAGTGGATCTCTCCAAGACATCTGTTAACGTATTACATCGATTTATTTTGACTTTTATTGTTTTACGCATGTGTGTCGGACGCGATGCAGATCGTCCCGGGTTGAAGGACGTGTCGCAGATCCAGCGACTGAACGGGGCCGTGCTCCGGGCCTTGAAACAAGAACTAGGGAAGACCCACCCGCTCCCACTCAAGGGCGATGTCTCCGTCTGTGATGCTCTCATTGCCAAGCAGCACTTCCTCCGGTGAGGCTACCTTCTTTTATTCTTCCGCTCATTCATTCAACAATGCGATAGAGGGATACGTTATGAGAAAGGGTAGGGTTCTGGGAGCAAGTTTGCCTTCGGCTCAAACACTTTTCGGGACTTCAGGGCCTCAATAGAATTTACGAGAGATGCTTTTTTTTGCTGGTTCAACGGCTAAATTATGGGTCAAACTTTCATGAAGTAAAAATTGCTAAATATATTCAAGGAGATCTGTTTGTGTCTTTTTAAACGTTTTTTTTAACCTTTACATTTTTTAAACTTTTATAAATTAAATTGATTTCGTATAATGTATGGATTTTGCTAGTTTCAACTAATTTCATAAAACTGGTCTCATTTTACAAAAAGAGAATTTTCTCTGGGACTGACCTTATTTTTAAAAAAAATCGACCTCCCCTCATGAAATGTTTCACGAACCATATCTCGCATCACGATACCGATCCGTTTCACGAAACCGACCTCGTCTGATGTTCTGCCAGGGAGGTGAGCATGCTGCACATGGAGGCGTTGAGTCGGCTACGACGGAGCACACCTCACTTGGAGTTCCCTGCATTGCACAAGGAACTCTTCTCTAGTGAATCCTGAAGTCTCGAGTTTCTCAGAGTCTTTCCCACCAGAATCATCTTTCCCTGGTAAGCTCAAGCTGTGTTGCCATTCTGAGGAACTTCAACATGTAATAGACACAAACACAATAGAATACATTCTATTTGAAGAAATGTCTGTTAGTGCAAGCGTATATATGGTATACTCACTGTTCTGCAAAGATCTTGCTACACATTGAATGATCTACTTTCTCAGCAACACAGCAGAATAAATTAGTCTCTCATCTTTGGTATGCTTTTAGTAGTTGCATGAAATGAGTTGCTCAAGCAATTGTTTACAAATATGCATCAGGATTCGCCGGAAAGGAACCAAATCTAAAAATCGGAGGACCTACACCTATTTCAGTTTGCTGCTAACAGTACTGAGAAATTGGAACACAGTTGAGGGTCGCAAGACTTACATAATGTTGTACCCATTACCATTATAAATTTTATTATTTTCCCAATTTCCCTAGGGAGAAGGAGAAAGAATGCCGCCGTCTGGGAAAAGAAGTCCAGTGAAGTCTCAGGAAGTTTTTTTTTGCCCCTCATCGTCGTCATCTTCAGTGTTTTTTTTTTGTCCTCACTTCATCGCGGCGCCGTTCTGGATCCAACATGTCTCCCTCTCAGGAAATGAGAAAACTCCCCATCGCTCTGAGAAGAACTCACCTCAGAAAAAAATGAACACAAACACACACACACACACAAAGAAATGAAGTTGTTCGTGTGATCTAGGACAAAACGTGGTTTTGTTCGTGTTTGTGGATGTGAGACAAGTGAGTGACAAGAAAGTTTCTCTCTCATCCCTGTAAATAACCTTTCTAAAACCTTTCTCGGTCTGTCTTGGGCTTGAGCTCTTTCTGTGTCGCTTCTGCCCGTACTTAAGGGTCAACGGAGGAGAAAGTTACCAATTTTGGGGGAATTTTGGAGAGAGTCCTCACTCCGAGGCATCTCCTTCCCCGTTTTCGTCCATCTTTTTCTGCCCATGGTACAAAGCTCGGTAGATATAGAGAGAAACAAAAACACGTTTTTGCAAAACACGGTTTTGCTCGTTGTTGGTCGAGAATATTGGGAATTCCAGATTCCCATTCAAGAATTTATGGAGACAATTTTCGATTAGCCGGAAGCGGGAGATGAAGACAGGTAAAGGAAAAGGAAATCATCTATGCCTTGTTAAACAGGAAAAAATGGATCTGTCAGATTTTTGCAAACTTTTTCGGCATGAATGGAAAGATCCTCCTACGCACTGTTGAATATTTGTGTACAGTTGTTTTTTTTCGGCATAGAAGAGGAAAGCTGAACCGAGGCAGACACACACACGAGTTCACACACTTTTTTATTATTATTATTATTATTTATAATGCCTTTTTTTGACGAGGAATGGATGGTTTATATTTTAAAGTGCTTTTTCTCCTGTCTCTATCTCGGGTGCTGTGCTTTTTTTTCCACTCAAGAATTCTTTTCCCCTCCCCTCCCCCCCTGCCCTCCCCAACCTCCCCCACCCCCAGGCAGATTCATTCTTTGTAAATATGCTAACCGCAGAACCTCGGAGCAAACTTAGTTAGGGCCCCTTTTTGTTATTATGGGAAGTTACCAATATTTTTTTTTCCAATGATGACGTACCTGCCCTTCCTTCAAGGCTTGAAGTTTTGTTGGCCTTTTTTGTTGCTTATAGAGAGAGAAAAGATGAACTAATTTATGGAAGCCTTCTCAGGAGAGACTCTTCTTCCTTCACGTTTCTGCGAACTGGTTTCTTGGAATGGAAATTTCTCTTTGAAAAAGGCCCTTGGTGGATTGTTGTGATGATGATGAGAGCATCCAGGGGCCACAGTCGACTTTATTGCCTTTCCCCCCCATCCCCCCCATTCTTAAACTCCTTGGAAACGAAGAGAAAAAAAATAGAAAAAATGGTGGAAGTAAATTATTCTTTTTTTTTCCTGGTTGCCAGAGTTCTTATGGTCTGTTGGAAGATATGGTGAGTATTAAAAGTGGTATTTTGGCTACATACCCCTCCCTGTGTCATTTATTCCAAGGTTCACTCATTGCTCTGACGAGTAATCCGCATGGTCGAACGTGAAGTACCCTTACACAACGGAAATAAAATGGAACATGTTCCAGTAGCAAAATATTACCACATAGAAATTATAAATCAGGCTTGATTGACATATGTAACGTTCTGCTTCGTTTAGACTTGACAAATTGTCGACGATCTGCCAAAAGGAGCCTGTTTCTGAAGAGATGCCAGAGGGAAAATCTACTCTGACGTCAAAGTATGGGCATTTTGTCCAGACGGTTCAGTCCTTCGCAGTCGAAATGCAGTACTTCCCTTACAGAAACTTTTACCAATCTCCTATTATGAACTCTCCTGAAAACGGTGTCCTGATGGGTTCAGAAGACGAAAACCCGAGATGTGACCGGAACGTTTTTCTCTTTTCTAGGTCATTGAATATTCCGAACTACTTAGAAGGGATCATTTATCATTCATTCATTCATTTTCTCGACTGCCCATCCCCACTTAATGGGGTCTTTGCTTGAAGCAGACTCAGAGGCGTCTGCCAATGTTCCCGATACTGGGCAACGGACAAGCTGCGATGCCTCGGATGACAAAGCCGAGCGAAGGTTCTTCCTGGTACGAGGCCTGCAGACAGGTCTATTACCGGTCATAGAGACTTTTGTTGGGTGTCTCTCAGGGGGATAGCGGCAGGCGTGTCCCCACAACTGGACTTCTTATCTTTCGATCCGGAGAAGTAACTGCTCGACCTTGCGACACAGATGACGGCGCAAGGCATCCTATCTCAGCAAGTAGCACCAGCCACCTGACGTAAGAGCCTCATTTCGGCAGCTTGCATCCAGGATCTGATTCTTTGTCATTATCCACTACTTATGGCCGTAGATGAGTGTAGTGAGACAAACACTCAAAAAACCGAGAGTTTGGAACTCCTTGGAAACTTCGGCTTTGGCAACCACGTTTCGATAGAGTACCCGTTAAACTGCAGAAGCCCCGGAGAAATGGTTGCCGATCTCGTTTTCGTCTCTTGAGAAACAAAACCTGAGATACTTAAATCTCTCCCAATTGTTACAGTGGGTGTGCCCTGGGTTTGGCGCATTGTTCGAGTGAACCACGCCATGGGTTATGGGGACACTGAGTTTCATTCCAGCGTGGTGAATTCATACTCAAACTGGCGGGTCGCATGGCCCTCTCAATGCGTCCGGCGACCCACCTACATACACCGAGAGAGAAAGTTTTCAGGCCCAACATACAGAATATAGGGTAATGGTAGATAAATCATTCTACGACTTTACATTTTGGCCTGCAGAGAGGTCTGATCTTGGCGATGCTGCCCGCACGCCGGAACGAGTTTGAGACCCCAGCTCTAGAACTCCTCCTGTTTCGACTGGGTAAAACGGACGGCCTTACCGACAAGGACACGCATCTTTACCTCGACACAGCTGATAACAACCTCCTCCACGCCCCGGCAGCTATACAGATCGTGTTTGTGTGCGCGAGGAACAGGGGAGGAGAAAGAAAGCAAGCCTGGTGAAGCCGAACACATACGAAGAGTCGCCCATCCCCCTCACTCCTGCAATTGCTGTGCATTGACCGAATGACTTGCATTAGCTGACCGTTAATCCCAAACTCCTGCAGTACTCCTCACGACTTCAATCGAAGAACACGTCGTTCGTCTTTCGTAGGTTTACGGAGCTCACGTAACCCTCTTTTGCACATACCAAATGCCTCTCGAGAATCTGGTGCAGAATAAAAAGATCAGTGGGGCAGCACTTTCCATGAAAGCCGCTCTTGGTATTCTCTCCAATGACTGCTCGAGCTCTCGTTTCCAGGGTCTTGGCATAGATCTTACCATGCATGCTGAGGAGAGTGATTACTACCTAATCACCTAACCCTCGAGTCCACCACCTAAAACAGAGGAACCTTTTCACCTTGTTAGTCCATACGTGCTTTCCTCGATTCCTATGCAGTCTGGCAAATCCTTTGCAGCCGAGAGCGAACACCAGTGCCCATTCCTTTCAGGGCCTCAGTCCGAATTACGTGGAATCTAAAAGACTTTCCTTCCTTCAGACGAATTGAGGAGTTCTCTGGCAAAAAATATTAACGTGCCAAGGCACAATTTGAAAAAAAGTTGCAAAATCTCCTCAGAGCCGACCTGCGGGCAATCTGAATCTGTTTTTCAGGGATATGGTATCCTTGGCTGCTCCTAAAACAAACTTTTGGCTTGAACAACATTTTTTAAATTACAAGTTGTCAGAATGAGGGCAGAAACTGTTTATGTGCATTCGCCATTTTTCCATATCCACGCGATCATAACTTTATCAACCTTTCTTTCAGTAGTCTTTTTCCATTAAAAAAATAATAATCTGTCTCTGAATTAATTTCTAGGTCTTAGAAAACCATTCCTTGAAGAAAGACTGGGAATATTGGAGCATTTGGAAATGCTTTCGTGGCAGTCTCGGTCACCAACGCGAGCACTACCACTATTTTGTTTCCTTTTCCTTCAGGCCTACTCGCATGGGTTTTTATGACTGACCATTCTTCCCCTTACTTCTCTACTAACAGCCATAGCGAGACAAGCAGATACATGCCCGCCATCTGGCGGGAGCATGGAGAATATTGTTATCCCCTTGCTCCAAGCACATCTGAACCACTTCAGTATCACTCTATTCTATTCTGTCCTAAAGCAGTGCATGTGCAAGGATATGGGAAAAGGGCGTACAAGCACTTATGCCCTTTTCCCAGAGAATTCCTCAATTATAGCTTCTAGGCCTTCCCCATGGTGGGAATTCTCTCCGCGATAGTAGGCTACGAGTTGAGGACATCAGACTGCTGCTGTGACCAGGTTTAAGTAAACTTTAAAATGTTCCTTCCGTCATCGAGATGCTTCTCCCTAGGCAAACAGTACCAACTTGTTTTTGGTTTTTGATGAATAGCAGAGTATTTCGCCTCCTTTGCTGGAACCTTCGGATGGTTTGCTAGAAGAACTTGGCAGCAGTGAAGTAAAGTAGTAAGATTTGATTTGCGGGTCGAATTTCTTCCACGCTTATCAGGGGCGTACGCAGATTTTCAGAAAGGGAGGAATCAATGCTATGGTTGCTGAATGACGAACGAGGGCGTTGGTCGCCTATTCGTCCATCCCCAACACCGATCTTGGGGAGATTCCCGAAGACGAAGGGAGGTCGGAAACCCTTTCGCCCCGGCGTGCACCACTTAGGCCTGGAAACCACGGCAAAGCGAGCAAGGAGGGATTTCAAAATTCTTGACGTGAATTCTCATGTCTAGAGATCAGATTCCCAGTAATTATTTTTATTACTGGGAATCTGATCTCAGAGGATACTTGAGATGCACGATCACTATCTCACATCACAATATCTATATCGTAGGTATGAATTCTCTTGATGGTTCCATTCATTATGATGATTCATTATGACCATTGCCGCCCAGAGACCAATGATGGAAAAAGACGCTAAGAGAACTCCGAAGGTAAACTAGTAAAAGTTTTACAAGGAAACTTCGTTTTACTGGTTGCACCCTTGCAAGGGAGGGAAGCGGAACGGAGTCGTCGCACAAGCCTGGTCTCTGGGTTGAAGGGAATGAAAGAAATAGTGAGCAGATCCTCCGCTAGATGACAGGAGTGTGCTCCAAACTCGCTATCTTGTCGCGGCTCACAATCAACAGAGAGCACGTGTATCGATCATTCTCGTCGGTCGGGTCTTATCCTTTGCCTTGCTTTTGCCAGCATCAGTTGCGGTGTGATTGTGGTGCTCAGAGCGTACACGAAGTTCGGCTCAACGTCGACTACGATAGATGTAAGCTGAGCTTGTTCATTGGGGAAAGCTCTGCATGGCCTAACGTTAGGCTTAGTTGTATTCGCTGACCTGTAATTGCCTTTTTATCAAGTCTCGGATTCACAATTTTACTGCCACAAGCCCGGGAATAAAGTTTATTTAATTAAATTCCCTTCGTCTTAAGCTATACCTTGCAAGGCCTACACCTGTCTTCTTCAGGTCTACTTCAGGGATTTTCAGTTCAAGGCACTCTTCACACTATTGTGTCTCAGTCGCAGATTTAGTCAGGGTCTGTGATTTGCAGAAAGCAGATGTTGCTCAAGTTCCATATTTGGTGCTATTAAGTAGGGAATAGGGGGATTGCATTCAATTGAAAGTCACAGTTGACCCAGGTTTTTGATATCCCATAATCTTTTCATATAGACTGATGACTGACTAGAACCAGCCTCATTCTATCTTCTCATGGTCTATGCAAGGCTGTGCATGATTTGATGATAATTTGTTCAGATAAATTTGCAAGCCTTGAAGCCAAGAACAGTATTTGACACTGATGTCCCAAGGCAAGTTTTGGATCCATACAATCCTAGGTCTATAAATTCCTATTCATCAATATCCCCAGGCCTTAATCATTGGAGCCAGCCAGCTAGATGAATCCCTTCCTCATTACCAAGTACAGAATAAGCCTATCTGAATAAGCAGGATTATAAATTGATGAAATATGTGAATTTGACTGCTGACAGAATTGGTTGCATGATTTCTTGTGTGTGTCAATAACATGGGAAAAAATGATTCTCTGATGCCAATGACTATTTTTTTAAATAGACATTTCATGGGCTCTTTCATACATGTAGGCCTACTTTTGAATAAGGACCTATGCCTAAGTTGAACATAGGCTGTGTCTCTGGGCAGAGCTTTCTGCTGTGTGATTTCAAAATCAGGTTTGGAAGATGTCTTGTATCTCTTTGCATATTTCTTCTAAGTGCATTATTGTCATGCAGCTTCCCTGATTTGCTATGAGCTGGAACAGCTGCTTTCCAGTTAGGTCTAACCAGGTGTCTGTATTTGTGCAGCACAAAATCATTTGTCCTAATGCTAATCCTAGAAATACCCTGAAGATAAAAAAAGCTAAGACTAAGTATAGCCCTCAGCAGAACTCTCATCCCTCTTTGTAGTTTAATATATCCTTGAGAGAAATGTCATGTTCTTCCCTTCCTCATCCTTTTCTAGAAATGGCATTTAAATTTATGAATGAAAAGAGAAATCTTCTGGATTGCACTTGTGCAAGACTGCTGTAAAGTGGGCTCAAAAGTGCAATAAAGTTAGGTTTTATTGTTTCTCAGATTCTTTCTAAAAACATTTCTTTCAGAATAAAGTACTTGACAAAATCTCTGAATTGTATGCTATAATACTTCTTGCTGAAGGTATCAGCCAGTTATGATGGTTTTATACTTGGTTACAACTACAATTAAACTCCATGGAGGAATTTTCATTTCATTTCCATTCCATTTTGATTGTACCTTGATATGTTTAAATTACAACTACCATTATAAGTAGTTGATTAACTGTTGATCATGGCTGCTACAAAATGAAAGTGAAAAATCCTAGAAGTTACTTTACTTTACTACATAGGAGCATTATAAATATATTTAAACTAACATTATGTATTGAACTCTTCTTGAAGACCATTAAACTTTTGTAAGTGACTTTTTCCTGGCCCAGCTAGTACTGGATGAGTATACTTGAGCATGCCTAATAGGTCAAACATCCTATAAAATATTGCTATCAGAATTTATTCCACTCAGGCCTCCTGATACCTCACAAGCCCTCACAAATAAATTGATGGTAACATGAGAAGAAAATGAGTTATTGCAAAATAGTGTTCGCTCACAAATTTTCATTCCACACATTTTTGCACTTTTTGAATTTTTAAATAACAGGTTCATGAATTGAGGTGCAATAGTTGAAGTAGTTGATTATGATTGCATGGCCTGTACAGTTTGTTATTATGACTCTGATTACTTAATTGCTACAATTATTTGGATGATATTAATTAGTATCTATTTCAGCAGACATGATCCATTATAATCTGATTATTAATTACCCACCTGTTAGGTGTGACTCTTCCCAGTGGCTTTGGCTTCACTGCACCTTTTCATGAATCTTTCCCTTATGAACTTTATTGATTCAGTCTACAAATGAACTACTGTAAATCATACCAAATTCGTTCCAGTAATCTGAGCTATACCTTACTGTTACTGCAGACATGTATTAGGAAAATAATCTGTAACCTTGAATAAAAAGCATCAGGAAAATATATCTGGCATTGCTGTGCAGTGCAGAGCATCCTTTTGGCACAGACCCATATCAGGCAGTCAGCAAGGGAATGATACCCACAACTCGATTTTTTTCATTACAGAATGAATCGAATAAGACTTTTCACTCAAGCATTGCTTAACAATAGGTTGATATTGTTTATGTGTGACAGGTTTGAAAAGCACAGGGGAGTGTTGGTGGTCCCTTGATTATTCTCTTTTCCAACTCAAAATTGATTGGTTATGTGATATAGACTTCATCCCCTAATGTTGCTTGACATTCGAGAAAACTTCGGACCGCCCAGAAAGGTGAGTCGCAAATTACTATCTTAGCAAGAAGGCGGCAGTAAAATAGGCATTTATCAAAATGCGATAAACTGGAACGGCAAATGCTGTATACCGAGTATCGAAGTTCTTGAAACGAAATGGAGAGGAATTTCTAAACCATTCACAATAAAGATATGGTCTGCCCTCTTCATGCATCATTGTATATCACAACGGCAATCCTGAAGTTGAGTGAAGCTGTGACGTGGAAAGGAAGTAGCTAAACTGACATGATAAGATTCCTCTGGAATTCGTACTGGAAGTCACGTCTGATAAAACTCTGAGAAGGAATGTCTAGAGGATGCTTTAGAGATGTCGATGTCAGGGCAATTTATCGCCGTTCACGTTGGCGGAAGCCAATGACTGTTCTCGAAACGAGACAGAGGAACTGGATTCACCTGTAATGAATGGCGTTGAAAGAGAAATGAGGAGTTGGTTTTGGAATACGAAATATGTTTATTTTTTATGCCCTACAGTTTTGCTTGAGCCAGCATCGAAAAGCAGGAAGGAGGCTTTCGGGGAATTTAACATTTTTTGCAAAATATTTTGTGTTACGGCCCCGCACCCTCAGTACGTGCTAATAAAGTTATCCCAGTTTCCCTCTTTCATACTTGAAGCCAACTGCCTTGAAGCATCAGGCTTTAAGTAGGAAAGGTGAAATGGAACATACATGGGTTGCCCGAAAGTTCTCTATTTTTTGCGATAGAGAAAGCAGACCTTTCAGGCTTTATCAAGTTGTGCTTTTGCACAATAGCTTGTCCAGGCCAAATTTTTTTTGCAAAAACGTTTGTCGTAATCGTCTTTTACTTTCAGTCGCCATGGATATCACTTTTCTAGCAATTGTTCACCGAACACATCATTCGCATGTTGGTCGTGTTCCACTTGCTGGTTGAGGAGGTTCCAAATGGAATCCACCAAAATTTCCAGAATGCTTTGCGGAACGTTCGCCACCGTACGAGACCGTCCGAAAGTGGGCTAAGACCATCAAAGATCGGAGAGAAGATGCTGAAGATGCACTTCGTTCTGGTCGGCCGCTCTCTATTTCTACAGAGAACGCTGTCCAGAATGTCAGAATGTGCGGGGCCCACTTCGCTGCCTCCTAGATTTTCCCATGTCTTAATTCAATGTGTGATACGCGTTGTCAGGATATACGCCCAGCTCATGTGCAATCTGTCGGCACGTGATCCGTCGATCATCTTGGAGGAGTTCGTGCTCACACCTCACGGTGCGGGGTGCTGAAGCAGAGGGCATTCGACCGGAACGAGGTGCATCTTCAACGTCTCTCCCCGCTTTGTTGGTCTCGTCTCCACGTTCGGACAGTTTCGTATGAAGACGAACATTTTACTAAACCAGTTTGGGAAATTTTGTGGATTTACCCTTCTCCTGCAGTGGAAATTAACCAGCATGCGATAGTCATGTAGTCATGATAGTCAAGAAAACGATTTGCGAACTACAGCAGATTTCATAGCGATTGAACTAAAATACGATTGTCTCTGTTCTGTCATTCTCTTTTTTGCCCAAAAATTTGGCCCAGACAACCTATCTTACATGAATACTACAAGGCAATACCCATTATTTGGGTATTGCCCTGTGTTGCACAATTTAGAGAAATTTTCAGACAACCCTCCTATGAAACGTATTTTTCTTTCACTCCAGCAAGTTTGAATCGGCCATGACTATGATGAAATAATTTCTAAATTTAAACTCATTTTCTGTTTTCATAAGTCGACTGACTGCTTTAGTTTCATTTTACAAAGCGCACTTTCTTCATTTCACCACATTCCGTAGAACTGATATTGACAATTGGAAGCTTTGCATTTAGTCAAAAAGAAGGAAGACACCGACTTATCAGGGCATTTTTATTTCATGTTTGCGCTTTAGCATGCACATGGCTAAACGTTAAATTGTCATACTTGAGGATAAAGTAGCTTACGTTAAAGCACATGAGGATTTAAAGGACATGGATCTTATTTTTTAAGTAATTAGTTTTATAAGTATAAAAATATTTGTAATCTTGAAGCACTGGAGTCAAAATTGGAGTTGACAACCGTGTTTCAGTGGTGCCAAGAAGGGATTCTTGTTTCTTGGCACCATTCCCATCTCGCCTCTCTCTCTCTCTCTCACTCACACATCCCCCTTCTGTCATTTAGTACTTGAGTCCCGTTTCGCCTGTGCATAAAACGCCTTTCGTTCCTTTCATCCCTTGTTTTTTTTGTTTTATCTCCCCACCTCTTCCCATCCGAAGTGAGTGGCTTTCTTTCTCCTTCGCGCTATTATAACATTTCTCTTGGTGGGCATCCTCACCACCAACATCGTGATTTCATGGCCTTCAACTCCTCACACATTCCCGAGTTATGCATTTGCGGCTTTGTGGAAAAACAATAACCATTTCTTGGTCATTTGCTTCTTACCTCGCCGAAACGATTTCTTTTTCGTTTTTAACCGTAGCTCTTGACAAAAAAAAATAAAATAAGTATGCCCGTGAAAATAAATTTTAAAAAATCATAACGGCTTCTTTACAATGGGAGCACACTTGTCAAACAAATAGAATCGACGTGGGAGGCGAAGTGTTGATGAAGATTCGAAAATGTATTGGTATAATTGCAACCGGTTCTTATCTTTACTCCTTTGACATGGTGGGAAGCGGGTTACGCCGTGAAATGCGACCGTGTTGCAGTCTGTAGGAGAAGAGGAAAACAGATATATGGCCCCTTAATATCTCTTTTTTGTTGTCTTCAGACATCCCTGGAGGCATGTTGGCTAGTCACGTGTAACACAGATTGATTGAATCCTTGTGGGGTTCGTGCCTTTTCCTGGTTCCGCATGATCCGAGCGAAGGTCACTCTTACCATTCCACGTGCGAAGGACAGCAGAAAAAAGTATTGCAATTACTGTGTGAAACGAGAGATTGGTCTTATATTGGAAAACCTGGGAAGGAAAAACGGAATGGAGGGGGGGGGGGGGGGGAGCCAGCTTGCTTTCCTCTGTCTTTATTTTTACGGTTGAAATGATTTTCCCTTTCATTGCTCGGAATTCCGCACGGCCATCGGCGAATTCCATAGCGCTTGAAAGCTCTTGTGTCTTCTTTGGTTCAGTAAACAATACATGAGGACTCAGCAGGAGTCTCGACAGGGCGATGGATGGATGGATGAGTAGTGGATGGATGGATGGATGGGTAGATGGGTAGATAGATCCTTTCTGCCCACTGCTTCTTGACCGTTCGCTTTTTTTGGAATGATGTATATATTTTATATTTGATCATTAATTTTCCTTATATGAAAATTCAACAAAAGTAAAATATTTGGGTAAAGAGCCGAAGTTATAAGAGGAAATTCTCCAGGTTATATTATTTATTTTACGTGAAAAGATCTTGCTTCATCTTCAATCACTGAACTATAATTGACCATTCTCTTTGTACGCAAAATTTTGAAATATCTTCAAAATATTGTATGCTCAACATGGTACATTTTGAACCACATATGTTTGGAAAAGTTCAAACAATGTGACTAGCGCTACTTAATCTGTATTTCTGTTTTGGTGATTACTAGAGAAACCTGAATCATGATGTTGAAGATACCAACACGTTTGGGATGACCATTTCTAAATCATAAAAGTTTCTGAGTTACTCGGCATAAACTTTTCCGTGAGGTAGTCTCAAGGAAAAACACATTCCTCAAGTGTAACTGACTCACCATTGACTGCTGACAAAATTTCTCTACGCCACACCTCGATTTTGCCTTTTCCTGACTATTCACCTTTTCTGCCATTTATTATACCAGTTTATTTTAAATCTAAACCTGAAAAAAGAAAGGTATGAGACTGCTAAGTTTCTTCTTTCACCCCCAAAAAAGGCCTTTATGAACACGTTTACGGACGACTTGTTTGGTGCAGTACTAGAACTTGCGATACGCAAAATAATGGCTTGCAATTAAATATTGTTTACATCATTTGTTCGAAAGGCCTATGAGCCAAGTTGGATCATTTCGTCGCAATGAGGCCTGGTTTCTAATCCACACTGATAGCACAAAGTAGACTCCAAATGAATCGAGAAGTTTCCCTTTGAATTCCACATTTCCCCCCGGAATTCAAGTTTCCAAATATCAGGGAGGGGAGGACGTAAGATGCCATTATCCATGAATCCTTGAAATTAACGCCATATCCATCGCTGCGAATTGGACATATTGAAAATTATTTTTTAAATTCAATTCATGGCGAGAACCAGCATCGTAAAACGCAGCTCCCTACATCTCCCTCGGTTGTAGTTCACTTGAAGCTTGTTGACTGCAATTCAGTGTCATAAAAGTTCTCAATAACCTCTATTAATTTAAGGATTCATAAAATAAATTTGATTCTTCCTGGAGAATCGAAGGGAATTTCACAGGTTTACCACATGCGCGTACGTGAATTTCTCCATGCACGCCAATTTTATCGGACTTTTATTTTTGACGAAGTAGCTCTCCTGCGATCCCTTTCAGTGAAATCTAAAGCAGTTCGTGCCATGACTGTATTGTAAATTTTCTCGTCATATAATACACATATATGCATTATAAATGGGGGTTCAGACAGTAAGCGGAGAAATTTGAGCCTGGTAGCGAATGCAAACGGTTGCTGGATGGTCCGAAGCCCGGTTGTTGCTGACTGACTATTCTATTTATTATTTATTTTGCATTTTGCTTTCAATTTTCATGAAATGCTGCGTTAGAGTTGACCCAGGACCGTTATGCTCGTCTGTCTAGTCCGGGTGAATGTCTTGGAATCCTTGGTGTTGACATGAAAAAGACTCAGTGATGACCTGCAGACCCCAGCTGTTGTTTATAACTTTTTTTTATTGCGGGGTTGGAAGTCTCTTGTCATGTGACTCGTGCACATCCTGCAGAACAATCCGACCGAGAATTTGAAGACGACTCAAGTTCTTTTTGTTCGAGCTAACCAATGCAGGAAAATGTTTTTACTTTGAGGAATTCCTGGCATCTTTTCCAATGAAC